CCGGTCAGACGCAGACCCCACTGGCCGCCCGCAGGCATCTCATGGGAACCCTGCAGAGACCCTCGCAGACCCCGACGCGCACGGATGTCCCCGCAGACACCCGCAAAGCCTACCCGAGCCTCTCAAAGGGACCCGCCACCCGCTCCAGGCGCGATGCAGCCCTCGCAGGGGACCTCACCCACCCGAGGTGACCAGGCTGCCTTTGACGCTGACTATGAGGCGTTCCAGTTGCCCTGGTGACGGATCCCTTCTCCTCCGGCCTGGGTTCCAGAGGCTGCAATCAAGTCTCCCCGCCCGCCCAGGTTCCCCTCGTTCCTCCCCCTCCCACCCTTCCCCAGACCTGGCTAGAGCTCCTTCGGGAATTTCTGCAGGTGTTCAAGTCTCTGCTCAGCCCACAGCGCCCTGCAGCCGGGTTTCATCCACAACTAAGAGCCTGCCCTCTCTCGAGGCTAACACTTCCCACGCCCAGCTTCAGGCAAGATCCTGACCCAAGGACTTGCAAAAGCCACGCCGAAGCCCAAAAGTATGTAGCCTCCAGTGTCCACCTCTAAACCCTCATCCCATTTCCTTCCTAACACCTCTGTCCCTTCCCACCTCAGTGCAACCCGCTCCCATTCTCTGCTTTTCATCCTTGCCTTCCTCCTCTTCTTTTTCCCCTTCCTCTCTTCCCATCCCCTGGTTCTCCACCCTGCCCCGTCCCTTTTTCTTCTTGCCCTAGTCTAGTCATCTTACTTCCCACCGTGCTATCTTCCCCCTACTTCCTGTCCCAAACTTCCCCTTTGGAAAGATTCTGATGGGTTTAAGTGATATATTTAGTATCTCGGGAGCATGGGGAGGTAGCGTGGAGGGGGCAGGGGTGGGGACAAGTGCGGGAAAAGTTAAGGCTGGAATCGTTAGGCACTGTTGCAAATGACAGGCCTTGAATATCAGAGCCAAGAAATTTGGACTTAATCCTTAGACTGAGTCAATGAGTATTTTTTAAAATATATTTTTATTGACTTTAGAGAGGAAGATAGAGGGAGAGAGAGAAATTCTCTCTCAATGATGAGAGAGAATCATTGATTGGCTGCCTCCTGCATGCCCTCCCCTGGGAATCAAACCCGAAACCCAGGCATGTGCCCTGATCAGGAATTGAATCTTAACTTCTTGGTTCATAGGTTGATGCTCAACCACTGAATCACGTGGGCCAGTCAATGAGTATTTTTAAGCAAGGAAATGCCATTGTTAGGTTTGTATTTCAGAAAGATCACGATTGGGTCATTAAGGAGTACTCACTTCTTTTGGATATACTTCCAAGAGAAATTAGGCGTACCCTGCTCTTCACAGCATCCTGAGCTTACCCCAGCACAATACCAGTTCATTTGTATTGTCATTTGGGTTCACCTGTCTCCTTCCCAGATTCTTTCAATTGAGTCCAGTGGGGAGCACAGTGTCTCAGTAAAAGTGTAAGGTTAGACCCTTTATCTATGTATATAAAAGCCTAAGCTACTGGCCAACCGGCTGATAGCTATGACATGCACTGACCACGAGGGGGCAGACACTCAATACAGGAGCTGCTGAGCGGCAGCAACTTTGCAGAGTTGCACTCTGGGATCCCCTGGGGATTGTCGGGCTGCCAGTTTCAGCCCGATCCCCACTGGGCAGGCCAAGGGACCCCACTGGTGCACGAATCCGTGCACCAGGCCTCTAGTCTATATATATATATAAAAGTCTAAGCGACCATTACTACCAAACGACTGGTTGACTAGTCACTATGATGCACACTGACCACCAGGGGGCACACACTCAATGCAGGAGCTGCCCCCTGGTGGTCAGTGCGCCACTCAGCCAGAAGCTGGGTGCACAGCTGCAGCAGCAGGTGCAGCCTGGATGAGCACAAGCGGCTCAGTACTTGGTGCACTCCTACATCCTTTGGGGGATGTCCGACTACCAGTTTAGGCCCGATCCCCCTGGCCTGCAGGGACTGGGCCTAAACTGGCAATTGGACATCCCTCGAGGGGTCCCGGATTGCGAGAGGGTGCAGGCCAGGCTGAGGACCCCCACACCCCTGTGCATGACTCCATGCACCGGGTCTCTAGTAAAAGTATGTTACCTAAATCAATGATAGAATGGGTGAGTGGATTAGTATGTTGGGAAAGGCAACAGAGGGACAAAGTCATCGCTAAGGTCCCAGAGGAATACCTGGCATAATCCAGGTAGAAAATGATGAGAACTTGAATAAAACTGGAGGGAAAAGAGAGGAGAGAGTGGATTTGAGATATATTTAGATTTTAGAAGATAGGAAATACAGTCCCTGGTGCCTATTTGAAGATAAGGGCTGAGGAAAAGGAAAAAAGCTAAGATAATTCCCAGGGTCAAGTGTTATCATTTTTTAATCCTAACCCAAGGATATGTTTTTATTGTTATTTGTTTTTGTTTTTGAGGATATGTTTTTATTCATTTTAGAGAGAGATGAACGGAGAGAGAAACATCAATGTGAGAGAAACATCTATCAGATGCCTCCTGTATGCACCCCAAGTGGGGATCAAACTCACAACAAAGTCCATTTTGATGTCCTATGGGACAATAACTTGGCGATGTCCATCAGGCAGTTGGGTATAAGTGTGAAGTACAGGGGTTTAAAGAGGTCTGAGCTGGAATTATGGAGTTAGGTATTATAAGCATACAGCTGGCAGTATTGAAGCCTTGAACACGAATGACATCATCTAGGGAAGGTAGTCCGTAGATGAAACTAGACTGTGGTCAGAGCCCTGCCTTCGTAACATCCTCCTGCACTCGTGGGAGCAAACCCCCCACTTTGGCTTGGTATTCCTAGTCTCTGGAATCGCACAGCCTGATCTCCATGGTCCTAAGGTATGCCGAGGACACTGCTCTTGGACTGGCCAAGTTGCTATGTGCAGGTCCCCTCCTGAGGCATGGTCCTCTGCTACCATCTACTGATAGTTTCTGACTGCTTCAGTCTTTCATTCTTTAAGTACCAGCTCCCTCCAAACCCATACATGGAGTCTAAGCACATGGGTGAACCTCCTGGGAGCAGACCTTAACACAAAGCTCATCTTGCTTCCCCCTTATATCTCAAGTGCACTAAGATATATCCTAATTCCATACCTGATTTGTAGACCCTCCAATCCCAATCTAAAGCCTGTACCATATTCTACCACTAGATGGAAGCAGAAGAGCCTCATACCACCATGGATGCAGAGGAGCACCCTTCTTCAAAGGACCCCTCTGCTGAGGACTCACAGGAGCCCCCTCTCCCTGACACCCCCTTGGAGCCTTCCATCTCTCATATCCCTTTAGAGCCCCACACCGCTGCATCTCAAACTATGCCATCCACTTCCCATACTGAGTTAGAGACCTACACCTCTGAAAACCCCTTGGAGCCTTCCGTCTCTGAGACTCCTTTAGAGCCCCCCACCTCTGAATCTCAGATGAGGCCACCCACTTCCCAGACCCCTTTAGAGACCTACACCTCTGAAACCCTTTTGGAGCCTTCCGTCTCCAAGGCCTCTTTAGAACACTCTATCTCTAAGGTCCCAGAGGACCTTACTTTATATAACTCATCACCAGACCACGTCTCTGATACTCTGAAGAAAGGCCTCTCCTCTGAGATCTCATGGCCAGGAAGTTCCACACAAATCCGTGAATCTGAGATCCTTCCAGAGTATTCCCTTTTAGACCCTACAGCCAAGGTCCACCTGGACAGATTTGCAGAGGAAAGGGAAGAGGAAGGAGAGGACAAGGAGGGGGAGGATGCCACTGTCAGCACCACTCACACAGCTCAGCCTGGACGTCATCTGGGCAAGAAGAAGGAGAAGAAAGGAGTTAGCCGTAATTGCTCCCACCCTTTTCCCCATTCTCATCACTGTCTTGCACCTGCCCCAGGAGGAGATTGGGTTACTCTTTGACCTGACCCCTTCTCTTCGTTTTGGGGCCCCTTCACTGCTCCTTGATTACACACCCCCTCTCTTCCCAGGTGATACAGCCAGTCCAGTGGTCCTTGCTAAGCAGGCAGAGCTGGTGGAAGTGCCTGAGGCGATGCAAAGAGACAAGTTTGGTGCTCATGTGAACAATCCTGTCCAATGGGAGAAGAATGCAGCCCTGAAGGCCACCCAGACAGGTGAGCCCAGGCAGCCTCTCAGAGGCTTGTGACGGGATCATCCTCCAGCCCATCAGTTTCTGGGAACTTGCCCATCCAGTGGAGAGCTGCACCTTGTGGACATGGCAATGCCACCTGCCTGAAATCTGGGAGGGAAGCAGGCAGGGGGGGGCCATGGTGGATAGTATAGTTGCAGATGAAAAGAGTGAAAACTCATATAAAGCCCAGGTAGGGACAGGTGACTGAGCTAAAGTTGTTAAAAACAGAAGGGTCACAGGCTAGCCCCAGATCTAGGGCTCAGATGGCCTGCACCAAACAGACCCTAAGGAAGAGGACCTGGACAGGCTCCACGTGACTTGTTGCTTTTACATGGCAAAAGGCCTTGGTCCCCTTGTTGGAACTCTACTAAAAAGCAGTCACCCCTGAATATGAGACCCATGATCACTTGAGCACCCAAGAGCTGTGAGTCTCCACCAAAGAGCAGGAGTCACATCTTCTCACCCTGTTGGTTCCAAGTCTCAGCCAGAATTAGTACTCTTGACAGTCCTGTTAGTGGCATGCTGTGCTTATCTATGTCTATATATGAAGGGCGTGCAGATGTACTCTGTAAACACATGCCATCCTGTGTGTGAACGTGTGTACCAATGTGACTGAGTTTTATATCTACAGGGGTTACCTTTAGTAAGAGGGTCACCCTGACCTGCTCTGAGGGTTTTGGTGTTTCTAGACTGAATTCAACATGTCACTGCATTTATTTTGGTTTTTCATACTTTCTCTTTATGATGGGAGTAGAGTTATGTCAAAACTAGATGGGCCTAAGATATAAAGACAACTAGGTAATTCTACGTCCTATCCCTCTTCCATGTAACTTACTTTCCTCGGTCCCTATGCAGGGACCTCCCACCTCCACTTCTGGAAAAGAAAGTCATAGTGATCTCATTTGTCTCTCAGTCTTACTTCAGTCATTGAACAGTTTTGTCTGCTTATTTTAGCATGCTATGTCACTTTTATTCTTTTTGCAAATGTAGGGTCTGTTCAGTACCCTCATTCTCCTTAGAACCTCCTGTCTACTCCCCACTCTTCAAGGCCACTGTACTTCTTGAGGTTGGACTTCATTTTCTTGTTTAAACAGGAATCTCTATACTAAAATTTAGGTGTCATGCCATCCTGAACAAAGATATTTGGGGTTCTCTTCTAATACTGGGGATCTTCTGTCCCTCGAGAGTCAATACATGTGCTCTGTAGAGAAATATCAAGTGTAAGCTTTTCTCTTATTCATTCAACATTTATTGAGCACCAGCAATGTACGAGGCTCATTGCTAGTTGTGGAGGTGGTGGTATGGATGGGGTTTCCAAGCAAAGAACCCTCAAATAATTTACACTTTAATGACAGACACCAATAAGTAAAAGGACAATAACAACATTTTAATGATTGGTATAATTTAGCTCAGCCCAGAGTGCTGCGTGAACAGAGAAATGGGGCAGGCACCCAATTGTGGGAGTTTGGGGATTAAGCCTTGGAAGGGATGACTTCCCAGCTGAAATCTGTAAGATGAGTAGCAAGAGGCAGCCAGGTAAAAAGTGAGGTATGCTGAGCCATGACAGCGCCCGGCACCAGCAGGAAACTGTAAGCAATGCAGTATGCCTGCTGCATAGTGTGTTGGGCAGAGTAGCCCCCCTCAGCTCTGGAAGGGCAGAATTGTGCAGGAATTTCTGTACCAAACTCAAGAGCTGGGATTACATCCTGAGGGCAACCTAAAGTCACCAAAAGACTTTAAATGGAAAAATAACAAACAGATTTGTGTTTTTGTAAGATCACTCTGGCAGTAGGATAGACTAGAGAAAGATTAGAGCTGGAGACAGGAAGACTGCACTGTGGGGCACTGCTAATAATCCAAATAAGAAATGAATGGGTAGAAGTAAAAAGTAGACAAAATCAAGAAATGCTAAGAAGGTAAAACTAACCTTTGGATCATTGGATGTGTAGGATAAGAGAAAGGAACATGCCTGGAATGACATCTAGGTAATTGGCTTAAATAACTGATTGGAGAATGGTGTCATTAACTGAATGCCTAAGACAAGAGTAGATGCTTGCTAAGTATGTGTTGGATGAACAGAAGACAAAGGGAGAGGGCCAGGTTTGGAAGGAATAATTATAACACATTTAAAGTGCTTGTGGAACATGCTGGTGAAAGAGTCTAGTACAGGGGTGGGCAAACTTTTTGACTCGAGGGCCACCATGGGTTCTTAAATTGGACCGGAGGGCCGGAACAAAAGCATGGATGGAATGTTTGTGTGAACTAATATAAATTCAAAGTAAACATCATTACATAAAAGGGTACGGTCTTTTTTTTCAATAGCTTTATTCATTTCAAAAGGGCCGGAACCGGCCCAGTGGCCGTAGTTTGCCCACAGCTGGTCTAGTAGCTAGCTGGCTCTATGGATCTGAAGCTCAGGAGAGAGAGCTGGGTTGAAGACATCTTTCATATAAAAACAGCTGTATCTTGTATGAAGACATTCTAAGCACAAAGAGATGTTATCATGCAAATGTGATTATGTGATCATGGAATTAACTGTGTTGTACAGAATCAAAATGGCATCCCAGATAATGTTTCCTCCCCCTGCCAGTCCTTGTCCACTCATAACAGAAAGAGGATTTGGAATCAGGGCAGAGAGTAGAGGGCACCATTCTGGAATACTCAGCTAGATGTCAATGGTCCCACTGACAGGGCACTGACCACTGTAATAGAGTCTGAGGTGTGGTTTGCTAGTCTCCCTGTTCAAACTTCAATCTTCATCTGAAAGCTGGACACTGACTCCTACATCAGTGCTTGGACCTGACTCTCCCACGCTCTCAGGCCAGGCCTTGATCTCTGGCCACTGACCCCTGTTCATTTCCACATCTCACCTGCTCATTCAGTGTATCCTGCTACTCTGGATGAAGTTCAGAATTCCTCTGGTAGAATCCTGGTCCCTACCCAATATTGACTCTCTCTATACTCTGCCCTTTCAACCAAGACTCCCTGGTGTATTGGGGCACTGGCACTACAGGCCGTCAGCATCAAGACAGAAGCAGCAAAGCCAAAAGCCACATCTGGACAGGCTTTTGACCTTGAGAGAGCATGGGTAATACAAGAAAACCTAGTCTGACCATTAGGCACAGAATTGTGGATTATGGCCTTGGCCAGAGTCAAAGACCAGAGGACACTAATTCTTTCTCATCCACCTTACAGAGCTTCATGGTTATTCCTGGCATAATGAAGAAATGATCTCCCTTCCTGAAGGAATTTGTCCATTCATTTAGTTAGTCAAACAATCTGTGTTCTCCAAGCACCTATTCTGTGTCATGCCCTGTACTAGGACTAGCTATAGATAAAAGATAGACCCTTCTTTGGAGGAACTCACAGTCTAACAGGAATACTAGTGATCCGCTCATTACAGTGCATTGTACTGTGATAAGAGTAGCTCAGGGAGCCATGGAAGGCAAGAGAGGGGGTCCTAGAAAAGGGGAGGTCAGGGACACTTTTTGGTGGAGGTGACACTTCATTGCAGCCTTTAAATCGGAATAAGAGTGCGACAGCTGAAGGTCCCACTCCATGGGGACTCATACAGGATTCTTGGCTAGAAGTTGGGGTGCTCTCAGGTCTCATGGAGGACGAGTGGCAGGTGCTCTCTGGTTCTCCTCCCACATTTACACAGCACCACTAGCCTTGTCTTGAAGTGAGATTGAGACATTTTCAGATCCCACTACTAAAACCAGGCTCTAAAGGGTTGTGGCATCTTCCTGGTGCCTGAGCTCAGGGATACTTCTTAGCCTCTCTCTTCTTTCCATGCCCCCTTTATTTAGCCTCAAAAGCCTCTATTTTTGGGTCTTCAGTACTCATAACTTCTGGCCTACCTCTTTCTCCTGACCTTCGGAAGCCCTTCTCAAGTTCATAAAGGGCACCAGTTAATAATACCAGGAACACAGAAGGGAAGCATGAAGGTGCCAACCTGAGGGAAGCCCTCCTTTTGACTCCAGGCCTGCTCAACCTCCCCCTCCTCTTCATGTCCCTTCAACAACCATGCTCCTGAGTAGCCAATCCCTACCATCTACTCTACACCTGGCCAATCATCTTCTCCTTCCCTCACCTTAGAAACTTCAAGAAAGTCAAAGTTGGACTCTAACATAGGGAGGGGAGGATATGAGAATCCCAACAGTCACAGAGAACTCATTGAGATTCATATTCATCTTCAAAAAAAACCTCATTTATAATCTTCCTGCTCAGAAACTAAAGACTGAGTTCAGTCATCTCTGACAGGCTGACAGAGATGGAGTGGATCCTCGGGTGGGAAGGGAACTGACACTTATGGGTGATAAGAAAACCTTGAGGAGAAAAATCTAAATGAGTAGTATGAGGACTCACAGGTAGGGATAAATACACCTGGGGGGAGAGGTGAGGCACACCCCCCAGGGGATAAGTAAGAACACCTGGGGGAGCTAAGGCCATTCTTCCTTCTCACTCATCCTTTTACTCAATCCCACCATTCCCAGGTCTCTACATTGGTTGGCGTTGCCCCCACTATCTATGGGACTGTTTCCGAATTGGAGATGAATCCAAGTGCTTTTGTGGACACTTGCTGAGAGAGCACCGGATCATATCAGGTAGGGAGAAATGAGTTATCCCTCCCAGCCCTTGCAGATGAGGAGGGATAGCTATACTGTCATGTGTTGGACTATATGAGAGAAAGTGTGTGTGTTGGTATGGGAAAGGGCGTTGGCATGGAAAGGCCAGGGCAATCAGGCGCTGGTCTAATCCTACCACCCATCCCCATTCCCATAGACATATCCGTGCCTTGCAATGTGAATCAGTGCCGCTGCCTCATGTTCTGCTTTATACCATCAAGCCCAGAGGAGGTGGGTGAGTTCTGGCTCAAGAGGCGGGCCACCTTTGATCCCAAGGCCTGGAGAGCCCAATGTCGCTGCAAACACAGCCATGAAAACCATGCAGCTACCGGGTGCCATCCCTGCAGGGTCAAAGGTACCTTCTAAAACAAAGGGAGTGCAGAGGTGGGCATGGGTGGGATAGGATGCATATAGTCTGGGAATAAGTATATGGGAGTTGGCAGGAGAGACAGGTTTGTGGTTGGTGAAAAGAGATAAAAATGTAGTCAGCCCAGGGGGAAGCCCCATTTCCCTATGTTTTTCTTGGCTGTCCCTTGCCCTAGGCTGTTGCTGCTACTGCTTTGAGTCAAATTTCCTCTGTGCAGCCTGTGACCGGCGTTGGGAGGAACACGAGACTTTCTTTGAGACTGAGGAGACCCGGCGACGAGGAAGGAGGCCTCGCGGTGAGGGGGTTACCTAGAACAGGGATCCATTCCAGGGTCTGTAGTCAGAAAGCCAGGCAGAAAGGCTCTCCCATCCTCAACCATCCCATCCCACACTACCTCACCCTATTAACCCCTGTATCCCATACCTGCATTGGTTTCCACCCCCAGGAGCAGACTATGTGCCTTTTGCAGAGATTCCTACCCTCCGAGAAACCATCATCAGCAACTCTGACTTCAAGGTTCTACAGAAGCAGGGGCCCTCTGGCCATCCCAGCTCTCACCCTAGTCCCCCAGGGCTCCCTGACTCACCCAGTCTCCGACCTGGCCCTACAGCTAACCCCCGTACCTGACCCTTTCGCCTCTGCTCTTCCCTCCTCCAGGGACAGACACTGTCAACAGCTTTCACAGGTCTGTGTGAGCTTGGTCCAAATCAGCAATAAAGGAGAAGCCACTGGACTCTGACCTGGCTCTGTCTGGGGCAGCTATAGCCCCGCCCAGAGATGGATATTCTAAGACCTCAGAGTCAGTACCTATTGGGGGCGAAAGAGAGAGAGGCTAGATCCAGCCATCTGCCTTCACCACACCCACATTTAACCTGCTAGTCCTGGCATCAGAAGGAGAGAGTGGCTTCAAAGAAGCCAAGGAGGGAGAGGGTTTTAAGAAGGATGGAGTAAGCCGTGATGTTAGATGCACTTTGATCTCCAGTAAGATAAAGCTAAAAAGTGTCCAATGGCTTTTGCAATGAGGTCTTTGGGGACTTCAGAGAGCAGCTGCAAACAGCCATCAGCCCCTCACCCAGGCTGGCCAGGCACCCCAGCGGGACCCCCACCCTGATCCGGGACACCCTTCAGGGCAAACCAGCCGGCCCTCACCCATGCACCAGGCCTCTATCCTATATAATAAAAGGGTAATATGCAAACTGACCCTAACAGCAGAATAACTGGGAATGACTGGTCACTATGACACACACTGACCACCAGAGGGAAGACGCTCAATGCAGGAGCTGCCCCCTGGTGGTAAGTGCACTCCCACAAGGGGAGCTCTGCTCAGCCACAAGCCAGGCTGACAGCTGCCAGTACAGCGGTGGTGGTGGGAGCCTCTCCCGCCTCCTCAGCAGCACTAAGGATGTCCGACTGCAGCTTAGGTCTGCTCCCTGCTGGCAAGTGGACATCCCCTGAGGGCTCCCGGGCTGCCAGAGGGCTGTTTGACTGCCAGCTTGGGCCCGATCCCCCAGGGAGCGAGTCTAAGCCAGCAGGTGGACATCCTCCAAGGGGTCCCAGACTGCAAGAGGGCACAGGCCGGGTGGAGGGTCCCCCCACTGAGTGTACAAATTTTTGTGCACTGGTCCTCTAGTTATACTATAAAAAGAAATTAGAGAAAAAAACAAATGTTATTCAGTCTACAAATTATGTGTCAGGCTATGTGCTAAAACATACATATACACAAACTAAAAATACAGTGGTGACTTTTATCCTATGTGTTAAACATCAGACTAAAACTTACTGGTATATTTACCTAAGTATATTCGCATTTTGTGATCCCCATGTTTCTTATGTCAATAATATATATTGCAGCAGAACGAAATATACTTCAGACCTAGCCATGACACATTTCCCTTGTCCTTCTAACTCTACTCCCTAAAAACACCAGGCACAGGGCCAACCCTATCACCCACCTTTTCTAATTAGGAAAGAACATTTGCTTATTAATCCTGTGGTCAAAATAGGACACACACACCCAGCTCCTCCCATTAAAAAGAAAAATGCAAAAACCATCCTTAAAACTGTAGAATCTTCAATCTTGGGGTAAATGTTAACAAGAACATTAAGGAAGAATTGCCCTTAGATCAGCGCTTTTCAACCGGTGTGCCACCGAATTTTTTTTTCTGTTTTGCCACAAGAATCTTTAAACCATGCAATACCTGCCCATTTAGTCAGGGGCACTGACCTTTTTCCATTGCCAAATTAAAAAAGGGCAACTGCCAGCATAACAACGGCGGTGCCGTGGGAATGGATCAAAATTATACCTACTCTTTTGGGTCAGGTCGCTAAAAAATGTATTTTCGGTGTGCCGCAGGATCTTAGTGATTAGTGTGTGCGCCGGGAGACGGAAAGGGTGGAAATCGCTGGTACACAACCTTCCGGCTTGGTGGGCAGTGCCAGGCGCAGCCCTCTCCTCTCGGCGCAGCCACCGAGCCCAAGC